ACTTAACGTCAGGAAAGATATATTTAACCGATAGGCTGGATTTCTTTTATATCGTTCGATATAGAAACTAGCGATTCTCGAGGCACGAGGTGGCACGGAACCGGTGCTTTTCCACTGGGAAACGATACGTCTGACCGTTTGATTACCCACGTTATACCCTCGAGCTCTCGTAATTACCAGTCGAACGCGATATTCGTCACGCCATCTGGCATATCTCAGAGTCAGAGAGCGTGTGTGTAACGCCGTCGATCCTAGAACGTAAAGGGCTAAGAACGTTAAGCCAATCGAATATTCAGCCCTTTCTTTCTTTCCTTCCTTTTTTTTTTTTTTTTTTTTTTTTTTTTTTTAGTAGCTAGAATACTAACCCTTAGTGGTGTTTTATCTCCTCTTACCATTCCTCCTTCCTTTTTCTTCTCGCCCCCCACCCCCTTTTAGTTTCATTCGTCGCGTCATCTGTTTCTCTTTTTTTCCCTTTCTTTCTTTCTTTCTTTCTTTCTTTCGGTTACTCTAATAGCACGCAACATATGTAAGTATATATCAGAACGTTATTGTCATATTTTTTTTTCTTTTTTTTTTTTTTATTTTTTTTTTTTTATGTGAGAGACATACGAACTATCCTACGAGATATCATTATTTTATATGAAGGGAATATATAGAAGGAGGGATGAAACGAAGAGAAAAAATTTATTTTTTGCATTAGCCAAATAATATCTGTCACTAATAACACTCGTCTACCATTAGAATTTTTCTTCTATCGTATTTCCTCTTTGCAATGAGATATCATTGCAATGGTAAGGACGAGAGTGTAAAGGTGAAATCCACCGCAACACAATTGAGACATTAAAGTTCGAACAGATATTCTCTCTCTCTCTCTCTCTCTCTCTCTCTCTCTCTCTCTCTTTCTCTCTTTCTCTCCTTCGACGTTTACGATAGATGTCATATATCTACATGCAAGTGGACAAAGGTCATCCAGGGCATTCGACTCGATCGACTCTATACATAGATATACCTACTATTATACGATAGGCTTTCGTTTATTCTAACTCCGCGTTTTAACGTTTCCCTTAGTTCCAAGTAGTATTAAAATTTAATTGAAATCGTTAAGATGGTTTTATCGATGAACAAATTTCTCTCTTTCTTTCGTTCTTTCTTTCTTTTTTTCTTTCATTCTTTCTTTTATTCTCGTAACGGAAACACTTTTCATCGTAGACGTTTGATTAAGATCTAGACGAGGGGCTAGGGAGAACGGGTGGGGGGGGGGTGCGGGGGCTTAGGAGAGAAAACGAAAAAAAAAAAAAAGAAAAACAAAGAGAAGAAGAGAATGAAAAAAAAAAAAAAAGATTATAAGAAGACGACTCTTGTTTAATTTTCTTTCTTCCCTTTTTTTTTTCTTTTTTTACTTATCCTTTGATACATTGATAAATATACGAATAGAATGACCTATATAATTTGTTAGAAAAGGCATTGACGAATCGACCTAGTGGAAAGAAAAAGAAAAAAAAAAAAAAGAAAGTGTCGTGACGTTAAATCCTCCGTAAAGGTTGGTTGACCTACATAAATTTTTCGAATCTTCGTTGATTCGACGACTTGACCCGTTTTCACCCTTCACTATATGTGTTCACGCCTTTTGCTCACGGCATCGTTCACACGCAGAAACTCTTTATTCTCTCTCTCTCTATCTTTCTTTCTCTCTCTTCCTCTTTCTTTTTTTTTTTTTTTTTTTTTTGGTACATACGTATTCTAAAATTAATTTTACGTATAGTTATTCGTTCTTGACAGGTATAGATATTTTTGTATTAAAGAAATGGGTCGGTTATTAATATTCCATAAGTAACTTTTTGTAATAAAGTTAATCAAGACGTTCGAATATCTTATTGATTTGAATATTTCATTGAATATCGCGTTCTACTTTATTCTAAGATATTATTTAAGATGACAATTACAAATGACATTGTCGCGTTTTAATTTAATTATAAATTACGTCGATGAAATTTATTGTCGTATTTTAAAAAAGAAAAAAAAAAGAAAAAAAAATTAATATATATATATATATACCAAGTTATAATAGTACAATAAATTGTTAATTTATATTGAACAAAAAAAAAAAAAAAAAAAAAAGAAAGGAAGAAAGAAATATTGAAAAAAACATATTAGAAAATAATTAATAATAAAAATTCAAAGAAGAAAAGATTAATATAGAATCTTCGTAATCTCGTTATCTTCAAAGTTCATATCGTTTAATAACATTATTTTAAATGTTAATATTAAAGGGATAACAATTATTTTATCTGGGTCATGACGTAATATCTCAGTTATTTAATGAATAAACGTCATACTATGTAATGTCTTCTGTGTTAAAAAAAGGATCAATTAGGATTCGATGGATAGGTATAAATTATTTTTTTTGAAAAGAATCAACGAACGATCTAAGATTTTTTTCTTCCCCCTTTTTTCTTTCGTTCTAATAAGCCGTCACAATTTTCATCGAAATTGAAAATCT